AAAAACAAAACGAGAACAAGGAGCCCAGTGCCTAAGCCAAACCATCACCAGACCGAGGACCGAGACTGCCACAAGTTTTTAACATCGACTGATGGGCTAAACAAGGAACAGGTTCTAACTGTTAAAAACATGGCAAAGAAAGTCCACAAATCCGACAAACGAAGAGTTGTATTTAAGCAGTGCTTTCAGAGAACCGCTTCATGTCGTTGTCCAGTAGAGGGTATCACGCAACTGAGAGACAGAAGATCCCTTCAGGGCTGCGTTTCCCAAAAGCATGGTAAGACTAAGTTGATGGTAGAACCATTGTGTCAGGGTTCTCTGAGTTGTGTTGTGTCTGAGCACATGGCTGTCTTTGTTTGTGTTTGCCATGTGCTCCTCTTGTCCCGCCCCCTTGTTTCCCATTACCACGCCCCCTTGTTTAGTGCTTGAGTCCTCTTTTTTTGTCAGAGTGTTGTCAGCTGTTCCTCATGTCTCAGATCCCTTTTTGTTGTGCTCTCTTTCCCTCTTATGTTGCCAGTTCGTCTAATATAATGTGCTGTTCTCCCTTTTCGCAATAGTCTGTGGTGTATTTTTCAGCTGGTTCTTGTTTTGTTCCGGTGTATCCTTGCCCTAGATTAGTATTCTTCAATGTTTTCTGCTTTACTGAAATTTAGTACTGAACTTTAAGATGGAACCCAATGTCCAGTTACTGTTTTCTTTCAAAATAAATTTCCATGACTTTTGATTAATGTTTAAGGATGTATTTATTTTGTTTTATGATTTGACAGATTCTGCGAAACTGCGTTGTTAGAAAATGTATCATGACATTACATTTCCTGATAGCTCTAGATTTTGCAGTGACCCCGGATTACAGTAAAATAGAGTGATTTAGAGTTTAATGGAGACTATGTTGTCATGGCATCAGTGAATGAGGTAAATAAACGTTTGTGTGCTTAATTATATCACTAAAAGTGTTATTTCCATTCCTATTTTTTTTATTATGTAGGCCTACTACATCATCAGTCATATTAAATGTTATTATTTATACCGATTCATGTCTGCATGTGTGTTCGTGTTCTGGGATTATAATGATGATATTTGAAAAACTGAAATTATGATCCGTTGTAAATGTGTAAATATCAGCCATGTGGTTTTAGTATCTGTCATGGAGGCCTTGTGTGCCAATAAATGTATTCATCGGCAAATGAGTTTACATGAATATTCATTAGTTTCCATAATGTGGGCGTGTCATTGTGACAACATGCAAGCAACTTGTTTAAAGGATTATTTCCAAAAGGTAACGAAGTTTCAATGTTAAGCATCAAAGCATTAACTGCAACCGAGTCAAAACAATGCATCGTTTGTATAATATGATAAATCGTCTGAGCTGTTTTGCCTGATTGATTACAGGCACACAGCAGAGCAAACAAGAAGCGAATAACCGGTGCTAACCCAGGCTAATATCATCTTTTACTATTTGATGTGCTTAGCTTTTTTATTTCATTTGTGAGACTTTCATTTTTATTTGAATAGTTGGATTAGTAGCCAACCTAGTTGTCATTGGTGACTAGTACTGCAGTTTGTTTACAACAATGCTTGAAATAAACCTCTACAAATGTATCTGTGGCCTAATAAAATGCATGTAAGCAAGCCTGGTGGGAGTATCCTGTGTTTTTTTTTCATATTATACTGGATATCATGTAGAATTATAATTAAAGTCACACAAGCAAATGTGCATTAAATGTGCAAATGTCTTCTTTTTTATTATTAAGCTTTTTTTAAAACATCAAAATCTTTCTACATTCACCTGTTTTGGGAATCTCCAAGTATTAATAGATTATAAGAGATTAGACGGATAAGTGCACCCAAATATGACAACTCTGTCATTACTTACTCACCCGTTCGAAACCAGTTTGAACAAAAAACACTGACACATTTCGCAAAGTATCTTCTACAGACGAATGAGTCATGCAACCTTGACACAACATGAGCGGGAGTGAATGGACCTACAAAAGCACAAGTCAAATACAGAACAAAAAACAGCATTGTGTGACAGTTTTAGGGAATGTGAGAAAGAACTACTACTAATAATAAATATCATATGCATACATTGTGTCTGTTCTTTGACCATATGTTGCACTGAAAAACAACCTACTTCCATGTCATATGTTTAAGAATGGTGTGTGAAAGCATCCAAAATATCATGATCCACAGTGTTGTGTTAATCATGTTTAACATTTAAAAATCTTATTCAAAGTGTTTTTTTCACATTTTACAAGTATAGATATTGTACTATCAGGGCTGGATCGGTAATCGGCCATACCGGGCATTTTCCCGGTGGGCCGACGCACTTAAGGGGGGACAGAATTTATTTATTTTTGCCAAGGACCATCACGCAGGGACAGCGAGCAGCCAGTGGCCCATTGGTTTGTCTCCTGTATTGACAGCGTAAACATCCAATCACAATGCGCTATAGATGGAGCGATGAAGTATTTTGCTCCGCCTATATAAAGATTGCATCACTCCAACTTCTTCCTCGTCGGCTTTTCCCACGTTTTCACAGCAGATTTATCAAGAACAGGCTTGCTCTGCGGTGAGTGATGCGGGCCAAAGAGCCAGGCAGGAGGAGGAGAGGAGAGTAGTTGAATCTGTAAAGTGCTTGATAGGGACTCGCAGTAGAGGCAGACATCTAACCTCTCCTAATGTGTGTGCAGCTGCGCGCCATGAGTGTAGAATACGTAAACACTTTTTAATAAAATGTAAATTTGCCCCCCGCGCTCTTTTAGTCAAGTCAAGTCAAGTGTGTTCATAGAGGTTTCCATGGGCCAATGCGAATAAATCTAGATTTAAATAAAAAAAGACACGATATTGTTGGACCTGACGTTTTATTCTTATCCAAAACAACTAGATGTGATATGAGTGTGATACATACATAGGCCTACATACACTACCAGTCAAAAGTTTTTGAACAGTAATATTTTTTTATGTTTTTTAAAGAAGTCTTTTCTCACCAAACCTGCATTTATTTGATCCAAAAATACAGCAAAAGCAGTAATATTGTGAATTGTTTTTTACTATTTAAAACAACTGCTTTCTATTTAAATATATATTAAAATGTCGTTTATTTCTGTGATCAAAGATATATTTTCAGCATCATTACTCCAGTCTTCAGTGTCACATGATCCTTCAGAAATCATTTTAATATGCTGATTTGTTGTACAAGAAACATTTATTATTATTATCATCAAAATTTAAAACAGTTGAGTACATTTTTTTCGGGATTCTTTGATGAATAGAAATATCAAAAGATCAGCATTTATCTGAAATAAAAAGCTTTTGTAACATTCAAAAGCTTGGAGTATAATTTTTTTTGGGGGGGGGGAATAAATTAATACTTTTATTTAGCAAGGATGCTTTAAATTGATCAAAAGTGATGATAAAGACATTCATAATGCTACAAAAGATTTCCATTTCAGATAAATGCTGTTCTATTCATCTTTTTTTTTTTTTTTTGAGCAGCAAATCAGAATATTTGAATGATTGACTTGAGTAATGATGCTAAAAATTCAGCTTTGAAATCACATTAATAAATTACATTTTAAAATATATTCAAATAGAAAGCAGTTATTTTAAATAGTAAAAATATTTGCTGTTTTCAACATAATAAAAATAATTTAAAAAATCTTTTTTGAGCAGCAAATCAGAATATTTGAACGATTTCTGAAGGATCATGTGACTTGAGTAATGATGCTAAAAATGCAGCTTTGAAATCACAGGAATAAATTACATTTTAATAAGATTAATCTTTAATGAGCCAAAAATAACACATGTCACACCTCTGTTCATCAGCTTGCACTGGCTACCAGTAGCTGCTCGCATTAAATTCAAGGCATTAATGTTTGCCTACAAAACCACCACTGGCTCTGCACCCATTTACCTAAATTCATTACTTCAGAGTTATGTGTCCTCTAGAAGCTTGGTTATGTTTACACTTTTTCATTTATACATCCAACAGTTAATCTAAATAATCTATGGTTAAAGCAATACAGTTTCTTTAGAATTTTTATTTGCAGTAACTGATTCATGTATTTCTGTAAACAATAGTGTACTAAATTATCATTATAAATTTAAAGTTATTTCATGTTATACATTATATCCATTTTATGAAGTTGAAGTGGGAGTAATTTTAAAAATGATTGTTAATATAATAGTGTCATTGTCTATGCATTTTCCAATTTTACTATTTCTGTTTCTAATTGAAGTTTATCTGACTGATTTGAATGGGACAGTTTTAGGTTTTCCCATCAGGTATTTCTTCAGGTATGTTCACACCTTTTTCCATTTATACATAGAGCAGTAAATCTAAGTAATCTGTTGTTGCAGTGCAAGCAGTGCATTTGCATTTGAATAGTTTTATTTGCAGCAACTGTTTCATATATTTTGGTTATGTAAGTATGTAAGTTATGTCATGTTACATGAAGTATATACAGTTCACGAAGTTGAAAAAAGAAATGATTGTAAAAACTATTGTGACTGGAATAATATGGTTGTTATGGTTTTTCCAATTTCACTATTTCTAATATAAGTTTAGTGGTTGGATGGGGCAGTTTTATGTCATCCCATCAGGTATTTCTTCCATGCCTATGCCTTTTTCAATTTATACTATAGATCCAACAGTTAATCTAAAAAATCTGTTGTTGAAGCAGTACATTTGCACTTGAAATGCTTTATTTACATCAACTGATTTATTTTTGTATAGTTGTATAGACCACTCTGTTGCTTTCATATTAAAACAAAGTTATTTGACTCATACTTTGCTTCTTTTTCCATTAATACATTTTTTTTTAATAAACAGCTAGTTAAAAACACACATATATATACACATATACAACATGCAACCTAGAAAAAAATACATTTTTATATTTACACACAAAAACATTTTGTGCATTTTTATGATTATTGGGACGTCATCTATAAACCTAAAAGTTCCCTAACCAGAGGTCGAATGTTTTTGTAGAGTCTCAATGCCTCTGTGGCTGCTGCACTTGGCTGTAGATTATTCTCCTCCATAACAAGAACACAGAGGTCATAGATGTCACGATCACAGGGTATGTCTGATTTCCACAGGCAGACATTTTCATGGATAATCACATCCAATCTTTCAGCATCTACAGGATTCAAGTAGTCTTTTGTTTGATAAAGTTCTGGTAAGTTGTACATGAGGAAGGGTTTCCCATGTTGTAAGTCACGACCACTGCTACGTCGGATTCGATGGTTATTCCACATGTTTACAACAGTGTCCAGTTCCTCCTAAAACAAAGCATATTAGGCATTAATAAAGGAGTATAAAGCAGTGAATTGAAAAGCAGTGAATTAAAAGCATTATCTAGCATATTAAAACATTGCAATAAAATTGCAAAAAAATTCTAAAGAATAAACAAGTAAATAAATCGTAAAATAATAAATAGTAAATAAAACTACTGGAAAACTTTATGTATGTACAGCTATTTAAAAAAATGAGTGTAAAACAACACTCAGACTGCTAGAATATGATACTCAGCACCCTTAGTGTTGTTTTCTCCCTCATTTGTAAGTTGTTTTGGATATTTTTTGTAATATATACATACATAGTTTTCCAGTAGTTTTATTTGACATTTTATGTTAAGTATTAGTGCTGAATCCCACCGCCGCTTATTGCCAATTTACTATGTTCATGTGGACACGCAGTTCAGCACCACATCAAACATCTCGTTACGTATGTAACCTTGGTTCCGAACAGCGACCGATCAAACAAATAAAATAAAAAATATCGCAAATGGCAGAGAGATTAATTTAAAGTAAATGCATTAAAAATATGACACTTTCGAACAAATAACCCTGCATGATTAACGAAACTCTCATATGGTAAGGCAAAAGCCTATAGCATTTTTCCTCACAATATTTTATAGCTTATGGACAAGCAGATATATGTGAACTAAATAATACAAACAGATTACACGTCTAATAATAATAAGAACGGGCAATTGGACAGTTGGGCTACATTTGCCTAATGGAGTTAATTTAGGCAAACATGAGTAAACATGCCAATAGAGACGCGCCCCGTTTAGTGTTTTGGATAAATGTTAAACAAATAAGATAATTTAATAACAGGCTAAACAACATGCAGTTACCTGAACTATGGATAGAAAACAGAACTGCATAAGGCCTTTGTCGGTTGCATCGCCTGTGAAATCACCAGCTGATTGCAGTTCTTTGAACAGATCCATCCAGTAATCTGCGTTTTGTCGTCTGTAGATACCCCACCAACTTTCTATTCTCTGGTTTGCTTGACTTGTTCCTTGAAAGACGCACGGTCCATGCACAGTTCCCGTCGAGTCTTCACGAAGAAACTCTTGTAGCCTGTTGACGTGGACATTTTCGGTACCAAAATCGGATCGGATTATTTGAGGGCAACCCCTTCTTTCAGCAACAGCGCGGAAATAATACCCAGCAATTACTCTGGGGTTGTTATTGGTGAAGTAGGCTTGCATCCAGATGATGTGCCGCGAAAAACCATCAATGCAGCCGTTAACTGCTATGCCATATGGCTTTAGTTTGTCGTAAGAGTCCATGTGCCATAGATAGTTAGGGCCTGGCACTCCATAATGTCGCCTCCGCAACCTTCTCCCTCTTCTTTCCTCCACACCTGATGGATCCAGACTTATCTGTATCTCTCTAACCATTGCTCTGGTCAGCCGCAAACCATTCAAACGGCATCTTTCATGCATCATTCGGTAGCCATGCAGACGTCCCGGTCCCTCAAGCTGACTGGCAATGAAATTGACTACACGTTCAGGCTCGCTATATTGTCTTCGACGATAAAGTTGCAAACCCGACAGCCTCCTTCTCAAGTGTCGAACACTTATGTGTAAGTTGTCAATCACTGACAGACATAGAGCTATTTCAGTTTGAGTGAGTCCCTGATCAAAGTAAAAGCGAATACGATCATCCATGATGCTGCCTCTATACCATGTATAACTTTTTTGTTCGTGGTTAAAACAAGATGTTCATTTTTTTCTCCGCCATCTTGATAGATGCTTATAATCACTGTTGTCAACTCTCGCAAGACAAATAACCAACCGCTGCTTCAAAAACAAGCCCAATTTTTTTTTGGATGATTTATTATCATCAGTATTATTTATTATCAATTATTTATTACCAATAAATGAGCCTGCAACATATTAAACTGAAACCACTCTTTTATCTGAAAAGCAAAAACAGAAGCTATTTTACAAAAATGAGCCAACTGCAACAAAAGTGGGAACAAAACTCATCTCCAATCACCTGTGAGCAGAACAGGACTGGAGAGATGGAAAAGGAGAAAAACACAAGCGCTTCAAAGGGGAACTGTAACATAGCCACATATTTATAGCCTACTAAAATATAGGCTATTCGAACCATATTTACTCTTAGTATTAGTATAGGACTACTTGTTTTTTATTACAGTTCGTGATAATTAATACATTACAAAAACTTTGTAAAAATACAAAAAATAGGCTAAAAAAAATTCATCCGTCATCCCACTCCTCTACGTCTACTTCTGTCATCGCTTGGAGTACAGCGTCACGGCACGTGCCTTCTTTTAAACGTGATTTTCTCCAATGAGGGGGAGTAGGGGGCGGAATATTTGGCAAATTAAGCTGCAGCACTTTTATTATTGCACTGGTTGGCTATTAACGGCGAGCAGACAGTGCATTGGAGAATATGGCGAACATAAATAAAGAAACAAAGTTGCTTGTCAGGTTTTCCTAACAAGCAACTATATTTATTAAAATAAGCCCAAAGAAATGCAACCCGCGACCTGGGATTTTTTCACGCAACTTTACAAAAACAGAAGCCTAAAGTCGCGTATAATACGCTGACTTGGCAACTATGCTTATAATGAAATTGTGGTGTGTGTAATGGCAGGCGTGGCGTACTGGTGTGTTCACTGCGCAGACTCATTAGCATGATTGAGAGCAAACGTGAGCGGTCACGGGCCTACGGCAGGGTTCTGGTATTGTTCAATTATTTTAGACCGGAAATTTTTTATTTTTTTTTTTAATTTAAAAAATTGCTACTTCATCGGAATGGTACGAAACTCGATTACATTTAAGGCAGTCACTATGTGACCAAAAAAAGAATAGAATAAATAAAATAATGATAATAAAAAATTGTGGAAAAAAGTAAATGGTCGTAAAAAAAAAAAAAAAGTCACGCTTGTGTTGTTCGTGGTCAAAAATGACCGCCATGGGAAATACGCAAAAATACAGAGACTTTTTTTGTGTGTACAATCTACAAATCATTCACGATGCAGAAAAAAAGTGCAGCGCAATGAAGGGGTGACACTCTTAAAATATCAAGAGTGCAAAACAGTCACACTCCAACCCCCCCACAGACACACATATATGAACTAGTGTGACTGTAACACAAAGCATGTTTTTGCCAATACTTGAAATAAAATCAATAATTTAGCAACATTGGAGTATAAACACAGACACCAAGGAAGGGGTGACCAGTGTTGCCAATTTGGGGATTTTGTCGCCAAATGTAACTACTTTCTGATTGTAGCTGTGACTTTTTTTATTGTTTTGCGACAAGGAGCTATTTTAGCTATATTTAAATAAAGCTAGCGATTTTTTGGAGATTTTTAATTTTTTACTTGGCCATTCCCTGCCGTAGGCCCATGACCGCTCACGTTTGCTCTCAAGCATGCTAATAGGTGCGTTCGACTTGAAGCACGGCTACAGACGGCAGTCAACGAGAGTAGCCGCTTGCAGTCGGGGGCGGAGGTGAAAACAGACACATCAAGCCGGACACTTTCTGCTCCCGTTAGTGACGCTCACGCGGTGTTTGCAAACTCTATCACAGATTAAGTGAATTAAATGCAATATTTGTCAAATACACAGACGTTTCAGAAACGTTTTCATGAGCAACAGAAACACTTTTTATATACTGCTGAACACAGCGCCATCTGTTCAAGAATAAAGTTCAACGTAAATATATACTATTTAAATACTAATAAAGTGGGGGTATATATGCTTTCATGATAAACGTGACTCAATATAACATTGCGACTACAGTAAAAAAGCTTTTAATGTTCTAAAGACACAGATTTATGAGCAGTATTGGATTTGAAGATGTTAGAAACACAGGTCATTGTTGTCATGTGGGGAATTTGGCCAATCGTGAAACAGCTGTGTCGTCATCAGCGCTCCTGCAGTCGCTCTGAAAAAGCTGCGCTAGCTGAGTCGGCCGGCTGCTCTCGAAACGATATCGTGGTACTTTGATGCCACACGTGACAGTGACATAGCGTCGGCGCAGGTTCAAGTCGGACAAAATTTCTAACCGGCATGCACTGCTTCAAGTCAGCCGCCGATCGGTCAAGTCCGCGTATTATACGCGACTTTGGGCTTCCTTTTTTGTAAAGTTGCGTGAAAAAATCCCAGGTCGGGGGTTGCGGTTTTTTGGGCTTATTTTAATAAATATGGTTGCTTGTTAGGAAAACCTGACAAGCAACTTCGTTTCTAGTGCTGCATGAAGTCGAACACACCTGTTGAGTCTGCGCAGTCAACACACCAGTACGCCACGCCTGCCATGACGCACACCATAATTTCATTATAAGCATAGTTGCCAAGTCAGCGTATTATACACGACTTTGGGCTTCTTTTTTTTGTAAAGTTGCGTGAAAAAATCCCAGGTCGGGGGTTGCGGTTTTTTGGGCTTATTTTAATAAATATGGTTGCTTGTTAGGAAAACCTGACAAGCAACTTCGTTTCTTTATTTATGTTCGCATATTCTCTAATGCACTGTCTGCTCGCCGTTAATAGCCAACCAGTTCAATAATAAAAGTGCTGCAGCTTAATTTGCCAAATATTCCGCCGCCTCATTGGAGAAAATCACGTTTAAAAGAAGGCACGTGCCGTGACGCTGTACTCCAAGCGATGACAGAAGTAGACGTAAAGACGGATGACTTTATTTTAGCCTATTTTTTAATTTTTACAATGTTTTTGTAATGTATTAATTATCACGAACTGTAATAAAAAACAAGTAGACCTATACTAATACTAAGAGTAAATATGGTTCGAATAGCCTATATTTTAGTAGGCTATAAATATGTGGCTATGTTACTGCTCCCCTTTGAAGCGCTTGTGTTTTTCTCCTTTTCCATCTCTCCAGTCCTGTTCTGCTCACAGGTGATTGGAGATGAGTTTTGTTCCCACTTTTGTTGCAGTTGGCTGATTTTTGTAAAATAGCTTCTGTTTTTGCTTTTCAGATAAAAGAGTAGTTTCAGTTTAATATGTTGCAGGCTCATTTATTGGTAATAAATAATTGATAATAAATAATATTGATGATAATAAATCATAAAAAAAAAATTGGGCTTGTTTTTGAAGCAGCGGTTGCTTATTTGTCTTGCAAGAGTTGACAACAGTGATTATAAGCATCTATCAAAAAATGAACATCTTGATTTAACCACGGACACAAAAGTTATACCACAATTCGTGATGTTTTATTAACAAGTTTCGGGAGGAGCGCGCACAGATAATTAACACGGCCAGTTCATCATCAGTAATTATACCATCTATCCAATCAGCTCAAGAGAGAACCTCTATAAATAATCAAAGCAGCCTTACCTCCATTATCTCCCGTCCTTAGCAACATGTCAGACATCGAGCTTTTCCCGGACGATAATGAATTTGACACCACGGGTCCTCTGGCGTCTTCAGTCGCCGTCCAGCACACCAGCGCTCCGCAGGACACCATAAGCGAGCCCGCGGCTGCAACTCGGGGCCGCCGGCCCTCCAGCGCCGCCATCGCGCATACCTCCAGGCACCGAGGCACGCCATCACCTGCGCCTTCAAGGTGTCAGCCACCTTCTCCAGCGTCCTCCTACGCCTCAGCCCTCTCCCCCGCCCCAGCTGCGGAGAAATGGACCGTGGCAGAACTACGCCAGGCGCTCGTCAGCTCCGGCGTCAGCATCCCACGACGATCAGCCAAGGCAGATCTCCTCGCCCTCTACACTTCCCTCCAAACAGGGGCGCCTCCAAGCTTCACTCCTCCATCCAAGGCC